GACTCGCTGACACAGCTTTTTGTTAGTCAATTGTCGCTTGCTATTTGGGAAACTTCATGTAAGTATTGTCAGTGCCATGTTCATCACATTTTTGTTAGTGGATCGTCGGTTATCGAGTTAAATAAAATTTGTAGTCTTTTGGACTTACGCAATAAGTTTCACAACAGTCATCTGCGATATGCTGACGGCTTTCCTTGTTGAATTCCCTTCCAAACTTCCAAGAAATTCCTGATCCAGTAACGAGCATGATTTTTCGTCTCCTGACAATATCCCACTCCAAGATTATCTAGAAATAAATCAAATAGGTTGGTTCATTTAGCAAAATATCGACGAAATATATATATATATATATATATATATATATATATATATATATATATTGTATATTTAGGGTCAGCAATTTTTCATTAATGCATGTTTCATTAAATAATATAGACAAGTTTTGTCTATTTTAAGTAAGTTTCTTTCATATTGTCTGATAAGCTTAATAACATTATCATTGAAAGACAAATCAAAAGGAAATCACCATATTGATACATGTTTAAATCCAATCTAAGCTTTCAGCTTACATAAGCCATTATCAAAGATGAGAATTACATTTCAATATATCAAACAACACACGGACGAAACAATTATGATAGTCTGTTTTTGTTGCATGAAAAATTTCAAAGCAACGACAAACTCGTGTATACGAGATGCGGAAGCGAAAATCGCGTCGCAGCTCGTGACATCACTCATGACCACGCGCGAGTCAAAACGAGAAGTATTAAATATGGGAAGCCGTTGGTATAAACCAATGGCTTCTGTTATCAATTATAGGCATTCAAGAATATTTGTGGAGATTTCATAGTTTATTTTGTTCAGGTTAAGTTTTAACTGTTTTATGTATATAGCTTCAAGAAATTTTAGTTTTTGTTTAATGTACCAATATGGTGATTTCCTTTCGTCTTTCAATGATAATGTTATTAAGCTTATCAGACAATATGAAAGGAACTTACTTAAAATAAATAGACAAAACTTGTCTATATTATTTAATGAAACATGCATTAATATATATATATATATATATATATATATATATATATATATGCTGAAACTAATTTTTAATAGGGCAAAAATAAAATTAATTAATAGATAGGTAGGTAGATGAAGGCCCGGTTTATACTATACTGAAATAGGTCTGCTTTACACTGGATCCAAATAGCTAGAGGGAGGCCCCAGTTTACACCAGAATCAAAAAGGTAGATGAAGGCCCGGTTTATATTATACTGAAATAGGTCTGCTTTACACTGGATTCAAAATGGAAACGAAGGCCCAGTTTATGTTAGAATCAAAAAGGTAGACATAGGTCCAGTTTTAAACTAGAGTCAAAAATGTAGACATATGTCCCGTTTACAATAGAGTAAAAAAGGTGGACATAATTTGGTTCATGACGTCATAGATATATGTTAGTAGAAACGCTTGAGTTAACCATAAGCCTTTTTTTTCTACTTGTTACAGCGGTAGTCTGGCAAAATGATATCTAGAATGAAAGTTTGTACGAACCATAAGAGTGTCAATGAATTCTTCAACACGGAAAAAATTACCCGCACTGACATTCATCAAAACTGACTGATGGTTTACAGAGACCAAACAATGCATATGAGCATAGTTAGGTGGTGAGTAATGCGTTTCAGCAGTAGCAACTATGATGTGTGTAGCAAGCCATTTTCCCGGTTGTTCTATACAAACTCCTGTCCATCGCTTGCGAAAATACATAGTCAATGGAGATTGCCCGCGTGGAAAAAAAAAATAGTGTTTCGTAGCCGAAAAGTGTGTTTCCTGTATCTGTTGTCGCTTCCGTGGAAATAAATAGGAGGCATTACTTTCGGAGCAATCCGTGTTTGTTTTTGGTTTCTTTTTTTTTTTGTTTTGTTTTTTTCTATAGTTGAAACTGAATAAAACTCGAGCCGAAGTTTTTCGAACGGTACAGATGGGACACAAGGTGTGAACAATCAGAGTGCCTGTCAGGAGCCATTTTGTTGTCTTAATTATTTCAATTCTCCGTCACGATGAATTGATCTAGTCGAAGTCGGGCGTATATATTTCTAAACGCCGCTGTTTGTCGTAGTTTTAGGGAATGCTGCCCGTGTTCGACTCTCAATGTTTCCCTGGGGGGGGTCAGTCGCTCTTTTGCATTGGAAAAAATCACAATTACCAGATTGAAAAGCTGTTCTTGGGCATCATCACCATCATCAACAACAACAACAACAACAATAATAATAATAATAATGATAATAATAAAGACTTTCTTCTCGCCAATGAATGAGAATTGCCGAGCGGGAACGAACCATTGAAGAAATTATAACAGTGCGAATAACCACACCAGGAAAATCACAGGGGACACGCTATAACAAAAGCATAAACGAAAGAAGAGTAAGATAGAGTAAAAGAAATAAATAGAAAATGGGGTTGGCGCAATGAAACATATAAACAACGGAAATAATACGAATTGCGAATGAGAGGAGCAATCGACAAGCAATAATATAGCAACAGTGGCCTTTAGAAAAGTAGAAAGACAAATATTTTTAAAATAAAATAAAATAAAACGCAAAAAAAAAAAGCAACAAAAAAAGAAACAAAACGCTGAAGGTAAAAGAAAATGGCGTCAATTTGTTGTCCCCTGAGGAGGACATGTGACTAGCACGGCCACGATTTACGTTTGGTGCGTGTCAAGGGCAAGTCATGAAATCAAAGAGGGCAGATTGATGCCACACCGTCCCTCTTAGCAAACGACCCCCAACCACTGCCATCTTTCTTTGTTAGCCCCTTCCTTTCTATCCTTTGCTTGTCTCGCTATTCTTTACCCCCTCCAACTTCCCTTACTCCACCCGTCTCTCACCTTTATTGCTCCTCCTCCTTTTCCTCCTCCTCCTCCTCTTCTTCCAGCGTTCTTTTATTTCCCGCCAGTTTATAGCGTTCTTGCCTCTCCTGTCACTTCGATATTTAAGAATCTCCAACGAGAACGGCTGTAGATTATTCGTAGACATTTTGCACAATGATGACAACGACCAGAAGAAGACTGCTCTTGTCAAGAACGCAGGAGAAAAGATGGCGGTTTCAGAGGTTGGAGCGGGGAGAAAAGAATGGAAAGAAGCCGGTTTGATGCGAACTAAGAACGTGGGCCTTAATTGTTTGAAAAAGTCTCGTTCAAATATGATTGTTTATGGCGATGTAGTCTAGTTGTTTTTGCTGAATAATACGTTTGGGAGATGAGGAAAAAGGCGGGAAAATATATTGAAAATGAGGTATTAAAACAAAGAATGCAATGAGGTCGGAAGTAAAAGAGGCGGAAGGAAGAGAGGAAGCTGAGAGAGGAAGTTGGGTGAAAGAAAGAAAGAAAGAAAGAAAGAAAGAAAGAATGAAAGAAAGAAAGAAAGAATGGGAAAAAGAAAGTATAAAGTTGTGAATGAGGTGTTAAAGAAAGAAAGAAAGAAAGAAAGAAAGAAAGAAAGAAAGAAAGAAAGAAAGAAAGAAAGAAAGAAAAAAGAACATTTTGAATGGGGAAAAAGAAAGTATAAAGTTGCGAATGAGGTGTTAAAGAAAGAAAGAAAGAAAGAAAGAAAGAAAGAAAGAAAGAAAGAAAGAAAGAAAGAAAGAAAGAAAGAAAGAAAGAAAGAAAAGGTTGGGTGAGAGAAAGAAAGTATAAAGTTTCTAGAGAGGTGACAAAGAAAGAAAGAAAGAAAGAAAGAAAGAAAGAAAGAAAGAAAGAAAGAAAGAAAGAAAGAAAAATTTGGATGGAAAAAGAAACTATACAATTGCGAGGCCAGTGACAAAAAAAGAAAGAAAGAAAAAAAGAGAAAACCTGGGACAAGTGGAATTATTAAATGTGTTTCTGACAATGTCTCTCGGGTCTAATATTTGTTTATGTTTCTTAAACGCGCCAAAAAATGAAGGAATTCCGTTTTATTTTCTATCATTTTATGTTACTTTATTCTTAGTTGTCATTTCAGAAAAGATACGAAGCTAAACTCAAACACGGATATCAAGTGACGATTGTGCATTGATTCATTTAAACTAGTTTCCTCGTTTTAGTTTACAATATTTTAGATTTGAAGAGAAGAAGGTACAGCGTCAGAAAGGGTCTGACAATAGCCCAATAAGACGATAAAAACAATCCGATTGTATCAATAACTGTAAGAACTCAATAGAACGAAAGTAAAAGTTTAGAGAGTGCAAAACATTGGGATAATGACAGAAACGACCATGTAAACTAGCAAAAAAAAAACAATCAATATATATTGTCTTCCACAGACAGACTGTTTCGCTATATCACAGCTCTTCAGTAGGGCTAGACGTCCGGTTGCCTCTAGTTAGATCGAACCCCCGACTGAATTGGCGTCAGTCGGGGAGGGGGGATTCTACCACTTAACCGTTGGCGCCCAGCAGTAATGATTGTGAATTTAAACGTATTTATTTTTAGATAAACACACAGTGACTGAGAGAACTCGATTCGATTTACCGAAAAGTGTTTTGCATTATTAGCCGTAATCGTCATTTTTTTGCAAACCCAGGAGCATATATATATATATATATATATATATATATATATATATATATATATATATATATATATATATATATATATATTTCGTCTCAGAAACCCAAACAAAAATTGATCTTATGTATAAGAGAAACCTTTACGAGCTACCGTAAATAAAGAAAAATCCGGAAGAATAAAAGAGGAGGCTAGAATGTTTTGATTGATTTATTTTCTACTGTTTATCAACCCTTTGCAGGTTATTTAAAGCCAGAAAATATTACTTTAAATTGTAAATTTTTTTTAGATAATAATGATTTATTAATACTTACTAATTAACCCATAGCTGGAGGAGAAGAATTGGATTCATACATTTCCCAATGGCATTTGCGCGTAATTAAATATAACGAACCCAACTGGAATTGGAACTCGACTCTCCGATTCGGAGCTATTATTCGTTACACCATACGCACATCGAAACTTACAGCACCTGGTATTCCCAAGCGGTCACCCATTTAGATTCTGTCCATGCACGACGTTGCTTAACTTCGGTGATCGTACGGGAAGCGGTATTTCAACGTGATATGGTCGTAATCCTAAATTAAAAAATGAAAAAAATGCACAAACTTGAACAAACATAACCATAAAGAATTGTTTGCTTCAAAAGAACAATTGTCGAATTAGTGTATAATGAACACTTCAAATACCTCGGTATAACACTTCAAATACCTCGGTTATGACATTTCAAATATCTCGGTATAACACTTCAAATACCTCGGTATAACACTTCAAATATCTCGGTATAACACTTCAAATACTTCAAATACTTCAAATATCTCGGTATAACACTTCAAATATAACTCGGTATAACACTTCAAAATACTTCGGTTATGGCAGTTCAAATATCTCAGTATAACACCTCAAATTCAAATACCTCGGTTATGGCACTTCAAAATATAACACTTCAAATATCTCGGTATAACACTTCAAATATCTCGGTATAACACTTCAAATACCTCAGTATAACACTTCAAATACCTCGGTTATGGCACTTAAAATACTTCGGTTATGGCACTTCAAATATCTCGGTATAACACTTCAAATACCTCGGTATAACAATTCAAATACCTCGGTTATGGCACTTCAAATACCTCGGTATAACACTTCAAATATCTCGGTATAACACTTCAAATACCTCGGTTAAATACCTCGGGCACTTCAAATATATCTCGGTATAACACTTCAAATATCTCGGTATAACACTTCAATTACCTCGGTTATGACAAATTTAGTAGAGGCGATAAGGAAATTGAACATAGAATAGATTGCGCCGGAGTTAGTTTAGCCCAATATCGCAATTTGCTAAAAAAGCCAAAACATTAATCTGAAAACACAAGCCACGTTCTCAAATAGCCTCGAGAGAGCGAGACTTTCATATGGATGGCGCCAAACCCGTTTTGAAATAGCTAGACTGTCAGTTGCATACGATTGTTTTCTAAGATCAATGGTTAAAAGTGACGTTCAGCGAGTAAGACCTGTTGTTCTTGGCAAAGACCATGCATCTTCAAATCTTGTGGCCTGGCGCTACATAATCACAACCAGATTTGAGGGCATACCACATGGAACTCAAAGAGAAATAATGACCAACAGTAGAGCTAGCTGTTCGGTCAATGAATGCCAAATGTTTCCTTATAAGGAAACAGTTAATGCTACCATTACCATTAAACGAAACGTTTATCTAAATATAAAATTATTTTGAAAGAGCAGAAAAATATTTTAAAATGCAATGATCGTATTGTAGATTTCTTTTTAATAAATATTAATCGAATGCAAATGTTTCCATCTTTCTTTTCTTTTTATGTGCTATGTCCTTTCAGGACGTAGGCGATCATGGCTCTCCACCTCCCTGTATCCCTTACAGCTCTCAACAAGTTCCTCCTCCAGACCAGGTTCTGTCATCCACTTGCTTAACCCTGCCATGTATGCCACGCATTGTTTTTCCTTGTCTCTCTTTCCTTCTATTTGACCTGTGAGTATCAGAATCTCCAGGCCCTCCTTCCTCATTATGTGTCCCAGAAACTTCAACTACCTCTTCCTGATGTTAAGTATAAGCCTCCTCCTTGTTTGCATCCTCTCTAAGACCTCTTTGTTGCTCACACGCTCGGTCCATGATATCCTTAGAATCCTTCAGTAGAACCATATTTCCGTCGCTTCGGGTCTCTTCTTCATCTTTGAGGAAATCGTCCAACATTCGCTGCCGTAAAGGACAGATTTTACGTAAGAACTCAGTATTCTCTTCTTTGTTATCAAAGAAATCCTCCTGTTTCACAATACTCTGTCTAGCTTTTGAAATGCGTCGTTGGCCATCCCGATACGTCTATGGATCTTAGTGTCGCACTTACCGTCCTCTGTCAAGACGCTTCCCAGGCATTTAAACTTCCACGTCTGCTTGATTCTAGTGTTCCCGACCTGCAAATCGCCTTTCGGCCTCATCCTCTTACTGATGTCTATGAATTCTGTCTTCTTGTAGTTTATGCTTAGTCCCTTCTTCATACTCTCCGTCGTTACCTTATGTAGGGGATTTTGTAATTTCTTTTCCATATCTGCTATAGGTACCGTGTCATCTGCGTATCTTGTGTTGTTAAGATTGTGGCCGCCAATGCTAAATCCCGGTAGGATTTCCAATTCTCTCAGAATACCCTGCCCAGCTTTTGGAATGCGTCCTTTGCCATCCCAATACGTCTACAGATCTCAGTGTCACATTTACCGTCCTCTGTCCGAAAGCTTTCCAGATATTTAAACTTCCAAGTCTGCTTGATTCTAGTGTTCCCGAACTGCAAACCGCATTTTGGGCTCATCCTCTTACTGATGACCATGCATTCTGTTTTCTTGTATTTTATTACGCCTTCTCACTCTCCGTCGCTGCCTTCTGTAAGAGATTTCTTTTCCGTCATGTGATGTTTCCATCACTTCTGTCAAAATCTGTTATCTTGCTAAATTTATAGAAACCTTATCCATTCCAAGGTCAGCTGCTTAGAAAGTTGGTCCAAGCAAAAGGTTCGGAGGGAAACCACCTCAGTACTGGAAAGAGCGATAACAGCTACTGGATTTGAGAAATTTTCAAGGGAAAGATTTTATAAATTTTAACTGAAAGTAGTAATTGCAGCTCGGTCAATGAATGTGAAATGTTTACTTATAAAGAAACGGATAATAAAATCATTACACTGCTATGAGATATACCCGCTAGGTATTTGTTTTAAAGTTATTTTTAGGATCTTAATAAAAACCCAAACATATGAAATTGGATTTATAGATTTTCTTTATTCTCGAGAAATGACAACAAAGATGTTAAGCACTATTTATTTATTAGATTGTTTATTCACAAGAATAATTTTATATTTACAAGTTTATAAAAATATGAGAACCAACTACAATGGCATATTCATTGTTTACCATATCATAAAGAAATAACTATGAAAACGTTTTTTATTCATAAATTTATAAAAAAAAAAAAAAAAAACGAACTATAAAACAAGAAAATTTAAATAAACATAACGACGAGTAACTGCAATTATAAATTTTGAATAAATGCATTTCCGGGCATTATATATTTTCTTCTCAGGTTCTCTTATATATCAAATTTTTGTTTAAATTTTCCAAAGTGGGGGCGGTCATCTTGTTATTATTATTATTATTATTATTATTATTATTTTTGTATGTTATGTTTCCTGCTTTGTATCCTGTAGAGCCGGGTTCAAACTATGGCCCTTAGGCACTATAGGAGAATTGTCATTTAAATGATAGCACTTATCTTGGTGAATGATATGTTCCAAGTGGGGCGATCTACTGGGCAATTTGTATGTTGATGTTACCCGGGACACTTTTAGTAAAATTGTTCATTTCTTTTCTCACGAGGCTCAGATCTCCGATTACTATTGGTACAGTCTCAGTCTTTATTATCTACATCCTGTTAATCTCGATCTTCAGGTCCTTGTATTTGGACACTTTCTCGATAATTATTATGGGGTTTTTTCTTTCAGATGGTACTGTTATGTCAATTCCTGAATTTCTTGTCTTTATTATTATTATTATTATTATTATTATTATTATTATTTGTGTGTTATGTTTCCTATTTTGTATCCTGTAGAGCCAGATCCAAACTATGGCCCTTACGCCCTATAGGAGAATTGTCATTTAATTCATATCACTTTTCTTAGTATATGGAATGTTCCTAGTCGGGCGATCTTCTGGGAAGCTTGTATGTTGATGTTACCTGGAACACTGTTAGTAAAATTGTCCATTCCTTTTCTCACGAATCCCAGAGCTCCGATTACTATTGGTACAGTCGCAGTCTTCATTCCCCACATCCTGTTAATACCGATCTCCGGGTCCTTGTACGTGGTCGGGTGAGTCCATTTCATGAATGGGTTACCGGTTTTGTTCTTCCGAGCGTCCCTCCGTATGATACGGCCGCCTGTCCTGCTCTACAGTATATTCTCACATTCAGTGACCCTGTAGTAGCTTTATTGCCTTGTTTGGAGTGAGATGATTTTTTTAAATTTCAAAAAAGGATGGTAGTAGTAATGGTAAAATTAGCCGTTTCCTTATAAGGAAACATTCGGTATTAATTGGCCAAGCAGCCAGAGCTATTGACGATTGAAATTTTTTAAATCTTTCTCTTAAAAGTTCTTCATAAAATTAATCTTCTGGAGACCCACTGTTATTAATTTTTCTATTATTGATGGGAGTTTCCTTTCAAACATTTTGTTTTTGGTAATATGGAAAGTTAACATCTTGATTATATTATTGATTTACATTTTTACCGTTACTGCTGTTGAAAGTCTTCATGTGGCTTTGTTATTTGATAAATGTCTTTCTTTGTGATTGTGCAGAGGGATTGATGAAGGATCGTCCTCTTTAAAATTTAAAAGATTTGTTCATTTGATGCCATATTTAATTATTGGCCCGGGAAGATGGTTGCATATGGAAGATAATTTAAATATTTCGGAACGAGTTAGACGTTATCTTTGGCATTCATGAATCAAATATCGTAAATGTTGCTTAACTTCGGTGATCGTACGGGAACTGATATTTCAACGTGGTATGGCCGTAAGCCTTTAGTATAAACGTGGCTATATGACAGAGATAGGTTCTTTAATCGGGGATGAGACGTCATGGATTCTACAAAAGAAAGAATATGTCTAAAAAAGAAAAAAAGAGTCATTTTAGGAAGCTAAGATGTGAGTTATGAAAGAAAAAAGAATCTTATTTTTTAAATGCAAATAACAAAAATTTAAGAATAAAATCCTAAAGAAAGAAAATAAAAACGATCTAATGACAAATTGAAATATAGCAAGGTGAGACAAACATCAATGTTTTGAAAAATTAACGAGAAAGCAAAAGAAGAGGCGAATATTTCAAAATCGCGTACACACGCACACAGAACGCTGTATATAAATGCAAGTATGATCATGCAATGGAAATAAGTCCGAATCATGTGAAAAGAAAAAAAAAACAAACAAAGATTTTAAGAATTGAATGGCAAACAAATTCCCGCTGGGTATTCTTTTCTAATCTGACAAATGTAGCCAAT